GTAGCTAGTCCGTATCTCTCGATGTACTTCTTCAAGACACTTTCCATACTCTGTCGAAAAACTTGAACATTATTCATATAAATGCACAAAGTATCCCGGCGCACTACAATGAGTTACTTACATATGTAGGTAATAGTAATGTACACGCAATTTTAGTCTCTGAGACTTGGCTACATCCTTCTGTTCCATCTTCTTCTTATTCTCTTCCCGGTTTTCATTTGATCCGTAACGACCGTGGTAGCTCTTCACACGGAGGGGTAGCAATTTATCTCCGTACAGAACTTCCTTTTTCGATGATTAGTCAATCTACTCAACCACCCCCACAAGACACCGCTGAACATCTTTTTATTGAGATAAATCTATTCCATAATAAAGTCCTTCTTGGTGTCGTCTATAGTGCGTCTTCCAAATTAGACTTTTTTCACTCGTTTGAACTTCTTATTGAAGATTTGTCTCCTAATTATGACCATTCTATTATTCTGGGTGACTTCAATACCTGTTTATTGAAAAATGATTCTCGATCTCGTAAGTTACGCTCCGTCGTTAATTCCAGCAATATGCATATTCTTCCTCTCTCTGCGACTCACAAATTTCCAAACTGCCTACCCTCTCTTCTTGACCTTATATTGGTGTCATCTCCTGATCGTGTTGCGAAACATGGGAAATTACCTGCTGATCAGTTTTCGTACCATGATCTAATTTATCTATCATATCGGATACGACCTCCAAGGCGCAAGGCGTCAATCCAACTACTGCGTAATTTCAATGGATTGAATATTGACCTTCTGCGCGAAGACGCTCTTAAAGTCAATTGGTCGGCAATTGAAACACTTAACACTATTGATGAGCAGGTTGAATTATTTAATTCATTGGTAATTCGACTTATGGATACTCATGCGCCTTTGCGGCCAGTTCGCGTCAAGCATGTTCCTGCACCCTGGCTCACAGAAGATGTTCGTAAGATTATTGACAAAAAAGCTCGAGCTAAATCAAAATTCAAAAAGTATCCAACGGATGAAAACCATGACCGCTATAAGGAAATAAGGAACCGCTGCAATACATTGATCAGGGATAGACAAAGACGCCATATTCACACATCTGTCGAAAACGGCGACCCAGCCAAGGTCTGGCAATTTCTCAATAAGCTCGGTGTTGGCAAATCTAAACACTACTCCGCTATATTATTAAATACTGATATTAACGCTTTAAATGTTCACTTTTCCTTATCTGCTTCTATGGATGAAACCATTAAAAGACAAACGTTAAAATCACTTTCTTCATTGCCAACACCCGCCTTTACTCCTTTTATTTTATTTTTTATTTTATTTTACAATTTTTGGAAAACTTACAGCTAATGAAGAAATATAAAGCTATATAAACTCAATAACGCCAATTACAAGTTTTCACAGATAAACAAAAGAATAAAATACATTATTAACACCCGGTTTCTGAATAGAGTATTTAAAGTTAAGCACAACTCAAAATGTAATTAAACATAACTTAAACATGCTTTTAAACAGGCTTGTAAAACGGAAAAAAAAACTTAAACTAATAAAAACAACCAGTTGAAATTATAAAACGACATTAGTATGCTATTAACTAGGCCATTTTAATTTTGAAAGAAATTTTCGTTGTATTTTTTTTTGAATCCTGGAATACTTGTACTAAATAAATCTAAATCAATATCTTGACATAATGAGTTGAACAGTTTGGGTGCTCTGTTTATAAATGAATTAGAATGATATTTCGTTTTTGAGAAAGGTACATAAAGAAGTTTAGTATGACGTGTTGTTTTTATGGGTGTATTTAAATAAAAACTACTAAGTAGCTCTGGAGAATCTATATTACCTTGAAATATTTTAAGGAGAAACGCAACATCTAACATTTCTCTTCTTTTGTTTAATGGCAGAAAATGAAAATGCTGACATCTTTGAGTGTAATTTCTAAAATTCATATGGGATTTATATTTTAAATACCTAAGAAATTTCCTTTGTATTGCTTCCAATCGCGATATATAAATATCGTATTGCGGGTTCCATACCTGTGATGCATATTCAAGGATTGAGCGTACGAAAGCACATTATAACATTTTTATTACTTTTATATCACGAAACTCCGATGACATTCGCATATCAAATCCTAGCGCTTTACTCGCTTTTGATATAACAGAATCAATATGAATATCAAAACAAAGCTTCGAATCGAATATGACTCCCAGATCCCGCATATTACTAACTCTTGCTATAGGTTTATCATTAATAGTATAATTAAATATTTGTATGTTAGGCTTTCTACTAAATGAGCAAACGTAACATTTAGATATATTAAGGTCTAATTTTTTGTTGATGCAATACGCAAGAAAATTACTAAGATCTTCCTGTAGCTTCATACAGTTTGATATGTTATTGATTGGGCACAGGATTTTCATATCATCTGCATACAGTAAAATTTTGCTATGTGTAAATGAGGATGTTATATCATTAATATAAATTGTAAATAAAAACGGCCCCAAAAGCGATCCTTGAGCCACTCCTGAAGGAATATATAGTTTCCTAGAGGTACAGCCGAATAAAGCCACTGTCTGACATCGGTTTTCTACATAGGAAGTGAGCCACCTAAAAAGGTTGCCACGAATACCAATCATTTCAAGTTTGTGTAATAATATCCTGTGGTTAATCCTATCAAAACATTTGCTATAATCGGTGTAGATGACGTCCACCTGACCTTGACCATGTGCCATATGTTCAGATATGTAGTTCTGGCATAACAACAAGTTACTTGTGGTTGATCTCCCATGCAAAAAACCATGCTGATACTCATTGAGATTATTACGCAATGACGAGTAGACCTGCTCGAATACTATTTTTTCAAATATTTTGGCAAAAATACACAATTTTGAGATAGGCCTATAGTTTTCAACTAAATTTTTGACCTTTCTTGTATATTGGAGTTATGAAGGACGATTTCCATATATTAGGAACGTAGCCATTATTTAACGAGCAGGCAAAAAGATATACGAGAGGTTCGACAAGACTATTTGCACAGCGGACTATAAACATAGGGGCGATATTATCAGGACCCGCAGTTTTATGTATATCAATTTTTTCAGAAGTTTTAAAACGTTATGCACATCTATCTCAATTGAGTTTATATCTGAAGATGCGCTATACGCTGGAGGTTTAGGAGGTAAAGGGGGAGTGTCAGAGATATCGTATTGAAATGTGGAGTGAAAGTATTCCGCAAAAAGATTACAAATCTCACTCGCCGAATTCACAGAAAGATCCTTATAAGACATTGTTGAAGGGTAGGATTGTGATTTTCGTCTGCCTTTCACATAAGTCCAAAATGCTTTAGGATTTTCTTTGATATCAGTTTCCATTCTAGATATATAATTACTATGGCACTCTTCCTCAAAAATCTTTATACGATTTCTAATAATCGAAAAAGAGAGAAAATCTGAATAGTTTTTGTACTTAAGGTATTTTTTATGAAATTTATGTTTTTCTTTAATCATTTTAATAAGAGCGCTGTTATACCACTGAGGGTAATTACGACCAGACGACCTTTGCACGTGAGGAATAAATTCATTTCTTAAAGTTAACAGCATCAAGCCTATTACAAATTAATTTATAATTTCCTTTGTTGTATAGATAGCATGTATGGGTTGGTTTACTATAATTTCTATTTTTTTCTATATGCACACTAACGTCGACGGGCGGATGATGATTATCAGGCGGCACTAAGGAACCTCCACTGTAAGATACTTGTATGACTACGTTACAATATACCAGGTCCAATAGTCTACCATACGCATTATGTATATTGTTGTATTGGAGGAGATTACATGTATTGATATTGTCAAAGAATACAGGTTGATGTGTGCCTACAATATTAGTCGGTAAAAAATGTGTATCGTCAGGAGATTTATCATCTCCCTTTTTCGATATGATTTCTGTTAATTTATCAGAGAAAATTATAAGTTGTTTAGCCAAAGAGTTGCCCATACCCTGCATATATATATATAAGCACAACCTATATGTAAATTATGTGACCCAGGAAATTTGATAGTAATCCATAAATCCTCCGCTGACGAGCACCATTCACGTTGATCATTACCTACCAGTTCACGCTTAATAGCTATTAGCACTCCACCGCCCAGAGACTGATCTGTACAACTATAGTTTCTATCTCGTCGCCAAATCAAGTATCTGTCATCAAAAAGTTCACTGTCCAAGATGCCATCGGTTAGCCACGTCTCCGTTAAAATTATTACGTCGTATGAATTACATAGAACGTTTCTGTAAAATATATTTACTTTCGTACGCAGACCTCTAACGTTTTGGTAGAATACCTTTATAACAAACATACCTAAACCATTAACACTACAGTAATCTTACTTAAATAGTATAAGATATAATATAAAATAAATAATTTCAATAAAGGTAGTAAAATTTTCAATTCCTTGAAGTATTTATTAAAACGTACGAAACCCGTCAAAAGTGCATAATTGATTATAGATTGAGCAACATATTTGAAATGAAATGAAATGAAAATATTATTATATTTAAAATCATTATTCATGTAATAAATCATTCTTTGTAGTATAATATTACCAGCTATAATTATACCGCCTATAGATATGTCACATACTTTAATATTAGATCTGATATGAGGTGAATATCTATCGCACTCACAAAAAAATATTTGAAATTTGAAACGAACCGCACAATAGGAAACTAATAATAATCTATTCCGTATTAAGATTGAGAGTAACGTGTTAACAGGACGACGGGCGGTGGCAAGACTAAGCCCGTACGCACCGAGCACTCGCAGCATAAATGAAAGAAAAATAGCATTTGAATGCACCAGTATTCCAGAGTATCTCAAACTATTGAGCACCCAAACGTATTCATTATTGTAACTTTTAGCACCAAAATAGATAAATAGGTTTAGTTAAATATATAATGACATACCATGTCGTTCAAAAGTGAATAACATCTTTACAATCTTCTTAAATCAAGTTCTGATTTTATCAGTTTTACAGGAGACGTCGCAGATTTCCTCATAAAAATTTTGCAATTCTTTACCCATGAGAAAGCATACCCATGCTCTTTCGCTGCTGTCTTAGTTTTATTAAGGAGTATTTTATTCTCTAATGTTACATGGTCATTAATATATATGTTGGTATCTGAATTATAACCTACATCAGAGGCTGAAATATTTCTTTTTAGTGCTCGGGCACAGGCGACAAAATTTTCTTTTATATATCTATTGCCAAACGATGTTATTATATTTTTATTTTTGGGATCATTTCGTGTTGGGACCCGTACAATGTAGTTAATATCCGTTTTCGCAACTTGACATTTAATCACCGATCCTAGCTTCAGGATGACGTCAAATAAGTTTTCAGACTCAATATAAGGAATTCCCTTGATTTCAGCATTGTTAAGCCGATCCAGTTGATCCTTCGTTTTTATGAGATCCTCTAAGTAAGAGACCACTTGAGTGAGAGAACTCATATCTTCTTGGTTTCTTTCAACATTTTCAGTACGTTGCTCCAAATTTTTAATTTTATCACTACATATTTTGGTTGTTTCGTGCGCAAATTCAACTGAGTTTTTTAGTTGTTGTACGTCATCCTTTATAGATTTAATATCTTCAATTACAAGGGAGAATGAAGAAATCTGTTGTGGCAATTTTTTAATTTCAGCCATTATCATTTCACTGTCTACATTTCGAGGAGTTGGAGATGAAGGAACCGATGGAGTTGATCTTGGGGCCGACGAAGTTTTGCAATCTGGACATTTCCATGTCGCTCTTCTATCACCGAGTTTCCTAAATCCAGTTTCTGTAATTTCAGCACAGTTAAAGTCAAAGCATCACATGCATATACAGCATTGAGCCATATCCCTAGCTTCACTTAGGCAGCTTGCACACTTCATCTTGATGGGTAGTAAATATTTTTTTTCCAGAGAAAAAAGTTTGGGAAACACTGGGTTCAGAGCAAATACGCCGACGTCCGTAGGTAATAACTCTCAACGAGCGACTCAGTTTACCGAGCGTGACATTAAGAAGAACATACTTGTTGTATCATCTAATGCGATTGGTAGCGATAGCATTAGTCGTAGGATGATTGTTCCTCTCCTTGATATCCTTACACCTGTAATAACCAAAATCCTCAATAAATCCATTTCTTCGTCTTTGTACCCTTCTTTGTGGAAAGAAGCTAATATTGTTCCTTTACCCAAAAAGTCTAAGCCTGATTCCTATTCTGATTACCGTCCTATTTCTATTTTACCTTTCCTATCCAAAGTCCTAGAAAAACTAGTTTATCAACAGTTCAGTAAATTCCTGTTTTTGAATAACCTCCTAAACCCAAATCAATCTGGTTTCCGGCCCGGTCATAGTACGACTACTGCACTTGTGAAAATCGCGGATGACATTCGCGTAGGTATGGAGAAACGACAGCTCACGGTGTTAACGCTATTAGATTATAGTAACGCATTTAACACTGTTGATTTTGAAATTCTATTAGCTATGTTGGTTTCTCTCAGTGTTTCTCCTCGTGTGATTGATTGGTTTCGTAGTTACCTGTATGGACGACGGCAGCGCATAAGTGTGGGAGAGAATCTTTCACATTGGTGCGATACAACAGCTGGAGTTCCGCAGGGTGGCGTTTTGTCTCCTCTCCTATTCTCTATCTTCATAAATTCAATCACGCCTCCTCTCTTTTCTTCCTATCACATGTATGCTGATGATTTGCAAATTTACACTCAAGCCCCGTTAGATGAACTACCTACAGCAATTACTACCATCAATAATGATTTGGAACATATCTCAGATTGGAGTTGACGGCACGGCTTGTTAGTCAATCCTCACAAATCACAAGCAATTGTCATTGGTAGTTACTGGTATCAAACTAGGATAAACAATGGAACACTGCCACCGATATTGTTGAATGGCGTTTGTATACCATTTCAGGACACTGTTAAAAACCTTGGTGTCCTGTTTGATTGTAATTTATCTTGGGGTCCTCATATTTGTGAGGTGAGCAGGAGGGTGTTTGGCGCGTACGGCTCGCTGAAGCGCCTTAAAAACCTTTTGCCGACAAAGACTAAAATTTCTATTGCACAATCTCTTCTTCTGCCACTGCTTGATTATGCTGATGCATGTTACTCCGACCTAAGTGTCGTTTTCCTAAATAAACTTGAGCGTCTCCAGAACTTATGTATTCGTTTTATTTTTGGTCTACGCAAATACGATCATATCTCCAACTACCGTTCTCAACTTCATTGGCTACCTATTTCTCGTAGAAGAGACTGCCACTTCCTATCACTTCTTTATTCCATTCTCTTTTATCCACATACTCCTCTTTATCTTAAAGAGCGCTTTATCTTTTCCTCCACTAATCCTATCCGAGATCTACGGTCTTCCCACAACCTTTCCTTAGTTATCCCATCCCACTCGACTGATTTTGTAGCGAAGTCATTTTTCGTCAAAACTATTATACTGTGGAACTCTTTGCCTGTAGTTATTAGACGTGCGCGGTCTCGGGACTCGTTCGTGAAACAAGTTAAGGACTATTTCCTCAGGCTGGATCTTTCTTCATTTTAGTACTTTGTCTCTCCTTTAATCTGTTCCTTTTCTTTCTTTTTTTTTTCTCTCTCCTTTTCTCGTTAAGAATATTTATTAATTAAAAGCACTAACCCGTTATATTTGTACTTGGTTGGTATCGTTTCTGTTAGCCAAAGGTTGCCTGGTAGAAATTGCTACCCTAGCAATAAGGCCGCCTTTTTCATATATGTTTATTTCTTTCTGTTTTATGTGTTTGTTTTTAGTGCAATAAAGTGTAATCAATCAATCAAGATGTATGGAAATATTGCCGATCTTGTGACATATCGATTACTCCGTGATCGAGTAAAGGATACAGAGCGCGCATGTTATAAAGCTTATATGGAGAATATTGAACTGTCTATTACAGACAACCCGAAAGTATTTTGGTCATTTATTAAAAGCAAACGAACAAACAGTAATTACCCGTCACGTATGTCATACAACAATTCCAGTTATGATGACGGTCAAAGTATCTGTGAATCATTTTCATCCTATTTTAGCTCAACATTTCTATCATCTTCCGGGGCACCTCCAGCCTACGATGGTTCCAGAGTTGAGGATACCATATTATGCACCAAAGTAATGAACACCGTTGTAATTGATCCACTGTCTGTTAATAAGCATCTTAAATCTCTTAATCTAAGCAAATCCGCTGGACCAGCCCCCTAATTGTCTAATTTTAAATCTATTGCAATCGCTTTCAGTTTGAAAGGTGTTGCACAACCATTGCTGCATATACAAATACTTTTTTTTTCAACTGTCTTCAGAAACAAGCAATGGTTGTGCAACATCTTTCAAACTGAAAGCGATTGCAATAGATTTAAAATTAAACAATTAGGGGGCAGATCTTCTTCCGGCAACCTTTTTGGTGAGGTGTGCTGATACATTAACAGATCCCATAACTATTATCTTCACACGCTCTTTGACTGAAGGTATAATACCTAGTCTGTGGAAATCGGCATTTGTTACACCGATACATAAGAAGGGTTCGAGAACGGAAGTGGAGAACTATCGCCCTATTTCAAAACTATGTTTACTTGCAAAAATTCTTGAACGCATAGTCCACGAACAGGTTTTCAATGAACTAAAAATAAATATCAGTGCATTCCAACATGGTTTCTCGAGGGGTCGTTCTACGGTATCTAATCTTGTCCTCTTTACGGATTATGTATCTGAAAGATTGGATGCTGGAGGTCAGGTCGATGCTGTTTATACCGATTTTCGTAAAGCATTTGACCGGATTGACCATGATCTGCTGTTGCGGAAGCTATTCGAACAAGGTATCAGAGGAGATCTTTTCAGATGGTTTACATCCTATGTTCGCAACAGAACTCAAGCAGTAGTATTAGGTGGGTACACATCTACTTGGATAACGATCCCATCGGGCGTCCCGCAGGGCTCGCTCCTGGGTCCCTTGTTATTTCTGTTATTTATTAACGACATCAGCACGGCGAACTCTAATTTTCTGTTATTTGCTGATGACATGAAAATATATAGATCTATTGACAATACAACGGACAGCCTTCTACTGCAGGGAGATCTGTTGCGGGTTGCTGATTATTGCACTTCAAATCGTTTGGATCTGAATATCTCTAAATGTATGGCGATTACTTTTTCTCGTAAGATGAATCCTGTCAAATTTAACTACACTATAGACAATCATATCTTAAATCGTGTCAATGATATCAGTGACTTGGGCCTCCATCTAAATAGCCAATTGTCTTTTGAACAACACATTGATGCGATTGCTAAGAAGGCTTCTGTCGCACTTGGTTTTATTATCAGAAACAGTGGTTCAATTAGTACTATGAAGCCCTTGAAAGTTTTGTTCTGTGCCTATGTGAGAAGTCAACTTGAATACGCCAGTCAAATTTGGAGCCCTAATTACTCAGTTCATATCTCCAGGTTAGAGAGAATTCAGAGAAAATTCACCAGATTCCTATGCTTTAAGTTTAAAATTCCAGTAATGCCATACCGTGATAGATGTATTCGTTTTCATCTTCTTCCCCTTGAGGTCCGTAGGAAAATCTCGGATGTGCGTTACTTCTCTAAAATAGCGCAAAATAAAGTTGACTGCCCTGAACTGGTTGCAAAAATTAAATTAAATATACCACCTCGACACTGTCGTCCTAGAAATTTGTTCCATACGTCCATTTTCACGTACAGTTCACCGTAGCAATGCCTTTCTTATTCGCGTGTCTAAATTAGTTAATGCCACTAACAAGGGTCAAGATACTTCACTTGACATATTCTCGGACAGCTTGTCATACATAAACGCAATTATAGCCAACACCCATAGTGCTATTGATTGATTTTTATTATTTATATTGTTTTATGTTCTCTAGTTTGGTGATTTTGACTTTATGTTTTTTGCACTTCAATGTATTTAAATAACATTGTTCTTTACTAAGGTCAGAGATATTTGTTTATTGTTAAATTTACCGCTATCTGTGGAGGCTTGTCATTTGCTCTCATCAAATAGTTTGTAAGTTACTTTGTAATTCAAGCAGTTAGCCACCCTAATAAAATAAATATAAAATGTGCCGCCCAACCCGCGAGGGACCTGCCCTTTTCAGGGCGGGCCGAAATGGGGGCGAACCGTGCGGTGTATGGCTTTCGGGCCGATCCCGTGCATCGCCTTCCATGCGAGGGACATCGCTGAGTTTTAGTGGGTATACCCCTGCTATTTGACTAGCCCCATTGGGGCGGGTCCGCATGGGGGAGCCCCACATAATCCGTAGAGCCCGCGCTGGGTGAAACGGGTATGCAGTAATGCATTTCTCAGCGTAAAGTGTGCGATATGCTTTATGTTTTTACCAAAAATATTTGTTCTTCATGTTTTTTCACTGTTTTTTTTGTTTGTATATCGTTTATCCTTTAAATAAAAACTTTAATCAATAAGTAAGAAAATTAGCGAGAATTTTTTGTTAAACAACTTTAAATCGTTATATATCTTATACTACTATTTAAAATGAAAAATGATAAAAGAAACCTAAAGATGATTTTAAAATACCCATTCAATGACACCCCACTTGACATAGTGCATCGATTTTTATTTTTTCATTTAGACAATATGGCGTCTGGATGTCGCTGTGGTGAATTTTGAGTACTGTCATGTCTTTAGTGACACTCGCAAGGTTAAGACGAATCGATTGACGTAAGAATCATCAAAATCGGTCTACGCATTTGGTCTCTAGAACGCCACATAGAAACAAACATACATACATACTTTCATACATACATACATAGACTGATAAACACATTACCCTCCTTTGCGTCGCGCAGTCGGGTAAAAAGACAACGTCCTTTCCAATTCCAACTCAAAAGT